TCTCCCGCAAAATTTCTGTTTATTATAATTTCTCAGAGTTTTATTCCTTTTCTCTATTTATGTGTGCATTAATTAAGTGTGGCACTTTGAACTGATTCATTCTTAATACAGCATTATGCTGATTTTCTGGGGATTGAAGTCATCTTTATGACACAGTCATTTCTTTTGAAATCATCCATTTACTTATTTATCCACATTTATTTGTTAGCCTTTTCGTGAATCTCTTTCTTCTCACTCCTCTGCCTTCCAAATGCAACGTACGGCTTCAGATTCCAGGCCAAATTTATTCGGCTATATATGGTCTGAACGCAAAAAACCTATCTCAACGAAACTTCGATGAGATACCGGCTATCACAAAACATTCTGAAAGCATGAAAAAGACTATTATTCTTCTTCAATTTTTGGGGGTTCTATTAAACAGTAATAACATCAAAACTCAAATTTACCTTAACAATCCCATGAAACAGTTAGGTATACAGGCAATGTAGGTTTCTAAATACAAAACAAGTAGTGTAAAACAAAATAAGTTGACCAATGTTCAACTGTAAAGTGTACCTTAGAATCGAGGAGAATATTCGCAACGAGGTCGGATCAAAAGCTCTATCCACAAGAATGACACTCCCAGGTTTCCCGCAGACAACCTCAGGTCAGAATGACCTACATTCGCTCGAACAAACTTATATTGTTAAACAACAACACATTGTCACTGAACACACAACCACAAAAAGAGACATTACCATTAAAGATAAAACAAGGACAGAAGCAACAAATAATGGTCAAAAATCAACACGTGATACGCAAACGTTAAATTGGTGACACTGAAGCTGGTGTCCCCCAAGGTGCTGTACTCTCCCCACTTCTCTTCTCTTTCTTTCTACATGACTTACCATCTTCAAATGACATTAATTTTGTCAAATATGCTGACGACCTGACAGTATCTTTGCCCGTCAAATGTCAAAGTGACTGCTCTAAACTTAATGGCTTTCTGTCAGAAATCAGCCAGTGGTCTAAGGAAAACGGTCTAACCCCAAACCCCTCCAAATGCCAAACAGTCATTTTCACCTTAAGGCATAAATCCGACCTAAACAAACTGGTTGGCTCTCACGAGGTGTGCAACATAAATGGCACTGAAATAGAAACCAAGTTGGAAATTAAATACCTAAGCATCATTCCATCTGCTGATCTTTCCTGGTCGTCTCATATCTTGTCGATTTCTAAGAAAATATTCCGTCTTACCTCCTACATCAAGAAGTTAATACATTCTGGTATAACCCAACCCTTACTCCTACAATTCGTTAATTCTCGCATTCTGCCTATTATTCTCTATTGTTCCCCCTTAGGTTTACACGGGCTACTGAAGAAAGACTATAAAATATTACTCAGGATGTTAAAGGTTGTCAGCAGGGTAAGCAACGCGCCAATTAACCAGCTTGTTAATATCCTGATCGACAGACACATGGACTCATGTGAAAAATGGGCCAAATCCATTTTATCTAACTCACACCACCCTCTTCACTCACAACTCTCCCCTTGCATCTCATCAGGTAAAACCAGAAGCCAATATAGAAAACTATATGCTCGCACTAGCAAGTACAAAAACTCAACCATACCCTACTTAGCTTGTGTTCTGTGTGATAAAGAAAGCATTAGGTGTGACACCTATAATTCATTAAATAGTCAGTAGAACAACTGGATCTCGTCTTTCCAACCCACATCATCAATAGGGACAACATTTTCTTTCTTTCTTTTCCTTGTCTCTATCTCTCTCTTTTTTCCGTTATGTGCTGCTTTGTTTCTTTCTTCCGCTTACACCAGTAAATATGATAGCACTTACATTTCTAACACCTTCAAACACTGTTGAACTTTGGCTTTGCTACCGGCATGCCAATATGTTGTTGTCAAAAGGAACTGAGATTTCCTTAATCTATGTAGAATTCTATGTATTGATAATGTACTAACTGGATGCAATACTGTAGTAAAACTGCTGAGAATTCCATTCTGTATCACAAGTACTGTTTTGAAATAAAGCAAATTATTATTATTACATAGTCTAGGGGAAAACGTATAATAATTACAAAGTAAGTTAAAACGTCCAAATAAGTATAAATGTTGTAAACAGATAGTCCAGGAGAGATTTTCCAAAAAATTCTCCATTAGAAGAAGTGCTAGCCTCATGTGTAACTTTCCCCATTTTCCAAGTTCACTATGCCTGGAATTGTAAATCAGGTGAGGTTTAGAAGTGCATCGGCCAGAAATCAAACCCTGAACTGCCTGTGCGGTTTGATAGAGTTCTATTACTGAACCACCAACGTTCTAATCGAAGTAATGACAACAATTCTCTTGGAAGAAAATATATACGAGTAACTGAGTGATACAACAACTATTCTGGGAGCGATATCAAGCTTTCAAAAATATCTGGAGGAGACTCTTCAGCAGTAAACCATTAAATTCAAAGTCAAAAATGTCATAAATAAGCCAATAGCCTGCATTTTTGATAAAGACACATTTCAAGCATTTGCAATGTTATATTTCTCTGCGATGCCTAATACTTTTGGATTTGAATCATTAGAATATCCACAGACAGGGAGGAAAGGTCGTCTAAACCTCTAAGATGTTTCATAATCTGTAGGTAAACATATTGCATATTACAACTCTGCTTAGGCGTTGTAAATATTTTATATTTGTATTAAGAATGATTGGATGAATATTGTTTCAACTACAGGCGACACATGGATGGGGATATCAAAGCCAGCCGGGATCGATAAAGCAAGACGAGTGTTCATCAGTATTCAGATTTGAAGCATTTAGCACAACTGACAAGGTCCGAACTTTCAAGACTAATGCCAAGTCAGTCAGTGTTTCTCTTTGATTCAGACACTTGGTACACGCGTAACCAAAAGCATTTCCCATTTGCTTTAGACTTTCACCAACACCTATCTTCACTGGCTAAATACTGAAGGTCAAATGGTTGGCAAAAAGGATCACTAGGAGGCAACAAATTCCAGCAATGAACTAACCAAGAACCTGTTGCTCAACAAATGCAGATGGACTGGATATATGCTTAGGAGACCAGTATATAGTGTCATCACGTATGATGTTCAGTGGAATTTCTATGAGAAACGACGGGTTCGGGGTGAGTTCAAGGGTGACATGGAGAGGAAATTAATGCTTATGAGTTTTCCAGGTCAGTTGAAGTTGCTGACAGAGAACCAAGTGAAGTGGAGATGTACCATTGGAGTCCTGTGTTTCACAGGTTGTTAAGCATCACATTATCAAGGATGATACAATTGAATGAAGAGTAATTCAATCTGACTCAAAATGGATACCCGGAGCATTTCGTGGAGAGGAACACGAAACCAAGGAATAAAAGAGAAGAATGCACTTCAGTATCAAAGAAAACACTATATTTGAATCTGAATTTCAAGGAGACCTAGCTGCACATATTCTTAAGAGGAGAGTTTATCGTTTTCTAAAGAAGACCTTTCCTGAAGCAACTCTCTAACCGCCAGCTGCTTTAAAACAGCATGAAGGACAAACTTACGCATATGACCACTGCAATGTGCATTTGTCAGTTCACCTGCTCGTGCGAAGCCACGTATATATATCGTTCTATGAGAGTCCTTTGAAAGCGTGTTAGAGAACATTAATCAATATGGTTGCTATTGTACAACTTCTTTTGAGAATGAAATCATCGAAGAGATAGATATCTTTACTGAACTTATTGCTCTTTTCTCTCTAATATCCTGGTGGATATTTTCCATCAATCCAACCAACACTTGAATATCAATGAGATGCTGACTAGCGACTTGCCCTATTCAGGTAGGTAGTTACCTGGGGTTCTAGTGAGAAGTCCTGATCAGTGGGGTGCAGCAGGTCGGGTATGAGGACAAATACTCGCCGAAGACATTGGCTAGCGGTCGCGCTATGTCCTGAATTGGCAGAAGTTAGAATTCATGGGCCATTGGATCGGATCCCAGTGGCTTAATGGTATACGAGCTCGCCGTGTAACCAGAAGGTCCTGAGTTCGAATCCCGGTGGGTGCATACTGCTGAAGAGTCCCAAACTAGGGTGACGAAACAACTGTCCAGTACTCCCAGGTTTCCGAATGGTTCTCTAACTAATGTCACCTCGTGATAAAATCCTGTAACCAATCAAATCCCTACAAACCAACACTTGAATGCATAAATTATCACATAATTTCGATAACGAATAGCGCAACGAGAAGTGCTTGAGTCACAGTTAAATACGCAAATGACCTTGAGAGTAATTCAGATTCAGAATATTTAAACACCTTCTACTAGTGTGTAGTCTGTTCATTTACTTATCTACCTTCATATGACGTATGTATAGTAAAATCATTTCAGTCTAGGTAATATGAAGTTGTTTTTTTTGTATAAACGATACTGTTATTAGTGCAATTAGATGGATACTAGTTGTGATGACTGTCAATCATACCTTCTTGTTAATTCTTTCTCACAAACATTTCTTGTTTTTTGTTTCTGCAATGTCAAATTTCTTTCCTGAAAAGAATAATGTGCACAATGAACCAATAAATTTAATCTCTAGCTAATAGTGTGTGTGATTGAAAACGAATATTTAAAAAATGATTCATTCGTTCAATAATTCAATGATTCAAGGTGTTTCATTTCATCATCATCGCATATATATATATATATATATATATATGTGTATGTATATATATTGACATTGTCATTATGAAACTAAGATAGACTAACAAATAGAAAGAAAGAAATAGAATCTATTGGAATTTTACAATTTTCTCTTATGAGTACAAAGATGAAAAACACCATAGTGTATATAGTGAGAACTAAAAAAAACTAGTTGGTTATACTGGGCCTCACTATTTAGTGATTATGTGTTTGTTTGTCAATTTTCAAGCATGTACACACACAGCCACCCACACACACACACTGTATAGTACATATACTCTAGGACTGCAGACAGACAACCACACGAAGTGCAGTGTATGCACATACACACACGCAGATACATAAGCACGCGAACATATATACGCACACCAGGCAATGGTATATATATATATATATGTATTTAAAGACGTATAGACGTACAGAGGACAGTTAAGCACTGAATAAGTGAGAACTGATCGATACGGATCTATTTCATCATTGAAGAAGAAGTATTAACTACTACGACACTGTGCTTATTACGAATGAATTGAATATTGTCAAACGGTTAAATAATTATTATAACAGATTTATTCACTGTGGTGCTTACACTCTGGCTGTACAAGAAGACTACTGAGTTAACGTGAGTGACTTGTGGTTACATTTTCTGTTTTAACGTTATCAGTAGTAGTACTGGTAATTTTTATGTATATAAGTAAATGGAAGGTACTCATTTCAAACGCTAGTGATCGCTAGTTAGATCTAAATGATCTCAACACTGAAGAGGTAATTAGCTGGTCCTGGGCAAGACCGATATGTCATGTGCCCGGTTTAAGTCACCTCAAACAGCTGAATCCCTTGATACCATCAAAAATCTGGCTAGCTATTCAAGTGAATGAGGCAATACGTAGAATTAAATTGTCAGTCAGCGAATTCCACCGTTCGAGATGAAAATCCATCATAGATTCCTTTGTAAATTCGAAAAATTGGGACCATGATATGTGGTATACTTGTTACTTAACGAGGATTTCTGTGAGGCTGACATTTTGGAAAGGGAACTCAATACTTTTGTCACATGACAAAGTATTTGCCTAGCCAGTTATGTAATACCACTCCCCGCGCTAATGCTAAATTCATGTAATCTTATTCTTTGTGAAGGTAAAACACAATTCACAGCTTGATTTATACTTAGATATTGTCATTAAGTTGTTTGTTATTAGTACAAACAATTTTATATTCCCTAAATTACTTCAATCTTTAACGTATCGAAAGGTTAATTGATTCGTTTCTTGGAGTGGAGATTTCATCATGAACCAGCAGACTGGGAATCTTTGTCAGTGTGTGTTTATCATCCCATCAGGGATGCAAAAATAGAGACTTTTAGGTTACGTGAACACCCCACTGACCATTCAATCCAGGGACTGAAATTATTTCAAAATTCTTAAAAGACCTTACAAATCAAAAGAGTTATTAGTTTTGTTACATGTTAAAGACATAGGGACAAAGTTTCGATGACACATAACTTCGGCGTTGTGACTAAATATTTTACCAGTTGGAATATAAATGGATTATTTCGGCTTATAATATTCCACAAAATAATAACATGTGACTTGAAATACAGAAAAATATTTCTGTATCTGAGCAAAAGAATTCAGTCTTTATTTTTGTTGTTGTTGTGCGATCGATCGACCTCAAGAGTAACTCCCTCAGTAACTTATCCTAGATGATGGAAGTACTAGAGATAACCAAGGAGTGCTGTACTACTGTTTCATTCTTTCTTTTAGAATTAATCATCGATATCAATAGTTCCCTCTCCATTCTTCTGGGGATAACACCTAGGAGCATTAGGTTGTCAAGGAAGTATCGCGTCACTTCAAAGTTTATTGCTTGTGTATTCGTTAAGAGTCATGACAGTACTTCTTGCCTTAATTTGGTACTAGATGTAAGCTGTCGTTTGCCAGAGAGCTCTATGTGTTGGCCTAATTCCTATTGGCTGTATTCTTAAAGGAACTCATACAGCTTTCGGGATTAAAATTTGTATTATTCAATGAGATATTTAGAGGTTTTGTCATCAAATATTTAATTAGTCAGGGAATATTTCCGTATCAGAAAAATACTGAATATTAGTAGTCAATGAAGCCATTTGAGTTTTGTGTAGACTTTAGCTTTGAATTGGAAATCTCTAACAATTGGCCACCTGGTGATGGTAACTGTTCTAGGCAAAACTATCTTCATATTACGAGTGGAATGCAGTCGTTCAGGCTTGAGCTGGGGAGGTTACAGCAGCAGTGGTGTTCTTCACATGACAGTCGCCTCACTTCCGGCCTTCTCTTCTTATCTGACTTACTATATGTTAGTAGACTAGGCGAGGTTTAGAAGTCCATCGACTGTGAAATCACTAAGTGCGCCGAGTATGTGGTTGGTGAACATTTCATCCTTTAACCACAGAGGCATAAAACGACAGATGACCTGTCCGATGTTTTTATCATTCCATTCTGTTAAGACGGAAATCCTAATCACTATAATTGATGCATAACCGATGCATGCCATCATACCATCTGGCAGCGTATTTTAAAAATTCATTCCAATACAAATGTTTTTCAATTCGCGAAATATACCCATTAAGACATTGAAATAAGAACAAGTTAGTTCAGCGAAGAGTCTCTTTTCGGCGAATTCATTCACTTAGCTGTACAGTCGCAAATATGTATACAATTATTTTGTGTGTGTACATTAGGTTTGTCAAAATCAAAATAACAGTTAGTGTGGGTTGTTGATTATATCATCAAAATAATAAAGAAATTAAAATGTGTGATTAATAATCAAAGTTGTAACTAAGTGGGGTGAAGATTGGTAAGATGTGATTAGGGTTACGTAATATAGACATGTTTAGAAAGCTTAGATGCTAGTGAAGGAGTTTGGAGACAATTATGAAAATAAACTAGATAATAGGTGAAAAGATTGAATGGGTTAGTTACTAAAAATTGTTGTACGAAAATTGCAAAAAATTTGATAACAAAATGTTGATGACAAATAAACTTGAAATTAAACCCACGGTAGTAGGAGGGGGTGGAGAAGTTTCTTCTGTGTGCATAACTCAGGCTTTTCTATCCAAATCGCTAAGGCTTCAGCAATACAAGGTATATGGAAGCTTGTCGATTTTGGAAGGCTTCTTTTGACTTTATAGATGACTTTGAACGACTTCTCCTTGCAAATCGAATGACCAGTGTTGAGTATATGCTCAATAATGGCGCTCCCTATTGCTCCGTTGTTACCTTTCCGTAGCCAGGCGGGATAGTGCTTTTGAACTCTTTTAGATAAAACACGCATCGAACGACCTATATACCTCGCTCCGCAAGAGCAGGTGAATTGGTAGATACACATGGAAGTGGTCAAATGCGATAGTTTATCTTTAGAGTAGTTGAAGAACAATGGCCGGGAGGAAAATGTCAGTCGTAGTGTGGCAGCGAAGAATGTCCTTCTGAGAGCAGTAGATATCCTCTTCTTCAAGGTGTCAGCCAGAAGGTCACCTTTGAAGGGTACATTCATGTAGACCATCTTCTTCTGCACTGTAATGGGTTGTTCTTTGTACGTCTTAGGCTTAATGTGCTTGTCTATAAAACGGGGTGGGTAGCCATTCTCGAGCAGTGTCTTCCTCAAGAGGGCGATCTCTTCCTCTATTGATTCAGGACTACAGATTTTTTATTTTACTTGTTTTTGACAAGGCGGCTTTTTCACATGACACAGTTGACTTGTTAAGAAAGTGTTAATAGTATTCCGTAAGATCATGGAAATAATTTAGTAAAATGTTACCAATGTTTCAAATTCTAGAGTGATGTATTCCTTAAACTGAAGCATCAACTGACAGACGGTTTACTATCATCCTAGGAATTATATTCAGTAAAATTTTATTAGACAGACTAGACATACGCACATATGTAATGATAATAATAATCTACTTTAATTCCAGCAACAGTACTAATAATAAAGCATGGAATTTTCAGCGTTTTTCACGATATTACATCTAATTTACTCAAAATATACATAAAATTAACCATAGGGACGTTTCCACATTTACAGTAGAAATAATGTCGACAAATTTGAAAAGTGTGAAGTGAGAATAGTAACTGTAATAATAATAATAATAATAATAATAATAATAATAATAATAATAATAGCAGTGGGTTTGTTTCAAACACTATTGTCGATTCAGCACGGAAATCTTTACATTTTTTAGAATATTGAATCTAATGTTCTCCTGAGGGGAAAAACAAAAAATAACACTAATTACAGAGCTTAAATGGTGTTTAAAATTGTGAAAACAGAGAAACAAGACAACTATGAATATAATAGGAATAACAACAGTACGACTTGGTGATAGAAGGACAGAGAAAACTGTTTATTTTCTAGTGGAAGGAAGATTTGTTAGTTTGTGCCTGACACAAGTTTAGTCAAATAAAATACATGCCCTAAATGGTATCGTGGAATTTTTATACTTAGAAATGAGCGCTTAAGGTCTTTTGAAATGAGTCCTTATCGGACAAAATTTCTTTAGAAAATTTGTTGCATGAAATTAAGTGCCTATCAATAATGATGATGTCAACGATATATGGCTCAATGGGATACCAGTCGCCCTACTGACAGTCTTGAGAGTTTTAAAAAGTATGAAATAGTCTTTTTCAAGCAGTCCAGGAAAGAATAAAAGTGAACAATAAAGAAGAATAGGTAAGATGCAAGAGTTGACAAACTGTAAGAAGAGGAGAGGTTGAGTTATGTCCAAGTGCCTTAACTTCTTAATGTAAAATGTCAGATGGAATACTTTTCTCAGAAATCCTTAAGACTTTGGAAGACCAGGATAGATTAGAAGAAAGAATTAATCCAAGATGTTTAACGTTTGACTTGATTTCTGCATCAGTATCATCAATTTTAAAAAAGTCATGGAAATTAACAGCTTATTTAACTTTCTTTTAGCGAAATTAACAATCTGACACTTAGAAGGATTTAGTTTAAGATCATTAGACAAAGCATCTAAGCACAAATAACATATCCACTTTTCAGAGGAAGTTTTTTCACTGGGTGTATTTCGAATGACATGATAAAAACGTTTGTGAAACGAGACCTCATCCAGAAGGAATAAAAGAACTATTAACTAGAGGCTTCATTAAGTAAAAGATTAGAAAAAAGGTTGTTCACAGTTGGCTTGACGTACTCGATTATCTGACAATTGTTTGACAGCAAAATGAAGTTTATTCTACATCCTGTTTTTCACTTACCAGACAACCTCATTGGATAGAAGATTGAACAATAAAACGTTTTATTTCAAATGTTATAATTACTTATTATTTCTACATCTTGAGTTCATACAATTTTAATTAAGTTAACTCTAAATGCTGTCAATAAAATTGAACACTTGTGGGACTGTTTTACCGTAGGCTGATACTCTTAAAAAGTTTACAGTCTAGACTGAGTGAGGACCTTAACATCAGAGAAACGAGTTGATTGCTTTCTCGTGAAGCTGCTAGTTTGCAATTCAATATCTGATGAATTCTAGGTTGTATTACTTTGTGATATAGAGTCGACACCTTTTAATATGTTGTAGGTGACTATCCATCTTCTTCTCAAGCAAAACCTGAATAAGAAATG